AGGGGAAATGTGCCAAAGAGGACCCCCAGGATTACATTTGACTAGTTGATCCCTTTGTCACCTTTTTGAATACCTTTCCAATCTGCAGGATGGAAGCTCTATGTGCAGCTCAGGGGCGAGGACCACCACTGTGTGTTCTTGGGATGCGGTCGATGGCTGGTGTGTGGAAGGAACCTTGGAGCTGGGGAAATTGGAAGGTTTAGGCTTCTATATGTCAAACACTAAATACAGCCGAAGGGACCTCATCAGGGAAAGCAGGTTGATTTAATGTTCCATCCAAGTATGCCCTGAAGCGATTGCTTCTGGGGGTGTCAATATCTTGCGGTTGAGAATCCTCCTTAGCTAACCAATGTTGTTTTGACTCTATCGCTGGTTTCTTGCAGGTGCCAAGTGTAAGCTAGGTGCTACCAGCCAAGGGTATAGCCATGCAAAGCAAGGAGGTGTTTCATCCACAGCCTCTCCCACCTTGAAACAAGATTCAGTATGTAACCAGCTCAAACACATACACACACAATCGCACAACACATTCCAATTGAAAAACAAGTCGCTTGTTGCATGCAACGCTCTCGAATTTCATGGCCATGATCATTGGAAGCCATCAGACCTGACCTATCCAATTATGAATTTCCAGCAAAATTGGCACAACTTACTATACCCTGACCTGGGAGCCAGCAAACAGAATGCACTCAACTCTTGGGAGGTGCATGGCACAAATTAACGGCATGCCACAAATGCTTCACAACTGACACTTAGTTGCTGAAAGTATTTTGCAACATCATCGCAGAGTTGCCCTGAAACGCATTGCAGGGCAAAAGGTCCTAAGGAATGAAGGTGCTGAAATATCAATCTCGGGAGTTTCTTCATCCCTTTCCAGCCACTTGAGGGGAAGGAGTTGATCAACAGTCCCCTCCAAAGGTTGAGTGGCAATCTCTATCAAGAACCGCACTGTTCTTTGAGAAGATTCAGTGGGGTGACGACGGGCCAAAGAGTCTGCCAGGTCTAGCCACTTTTGTTTCCGATCCTTTGGGACCTGTTTGATTGGGCGAACATCAGGCGGCAACGACTCACCAAGTCTCCGCAAGAATTCCAATGGTGAGCGAGCATAGGTGCCTGCAGGAAGATTGATCAATAAAGTTGGTTGGTTAGTTCTGAACAATGACAAGTGATTAGTATTGAAGTTGTTGCCTGCATGATATCTTTATCGCTCATGTAGCGCTTGCACATCACACACACATCTTCTGGACTGATCGCAGCTTGGCCAGGACCATGCTGCTCGATGCGGACGTTGGCAGGAAGGTCTGAGAGGGCTCAATGGCAATAAAGGCAGGTGGCTCTTGGAAGGCTGCAAAAACAAACAAACCAAAGTTACCACTGTGCACCAACACACAAGTCACAGGTTACGTCCAGCCTTTTCTTTTCATAAATATGAAAGAGTGCGCACCGGTGGAGTCTTCTTTGAGAGCGCCCGAATATGTTACACCAAGTTGGGAGAGCCTTGAAACACATGTCTATTCAATACAATGCTGCACTGTGCAAACACTCAAAGGTAGGTGTGGAGCCAAGCTGCCATCCCTTCCAATTTCTTACTCCCCGCATGCAGTGGACATGGATCTCTGTAGAGGTTCCCAAGAATGATTTCAGGTCCAGCTTTTGCATGATCAGATTCAATTTCCTGAGGTCAACACAATTCAGATTAGAAACACACTAATCACAACTCTGCGCATTGCGATGAATGTTTCACTGACAAAAGCAGCTGGTTAAAAAAGAACATGCTGCTTCGTATGGTTTCCAGACCCAGCATTGTCCAAGTCACATGCTGGCATCATGGATGTCTGCTAAGATGTCCACATATTTCATGCTTGTAGCGAGGATTCCAAATATTTGGTCTTAGATTTGGGAAGTGTTTAGAAACCAAACACCCACACACCATGATTCAAACATTGGATTCCATGACCATATGAGTCAAAGTTCCCAATGGACCATGAGTGTGACCCACCCTCGCCATTTGTAGGTTTCCAGATCTGAACTTAAATCTCGCTATTGCCCATGACAGCCATCGCAGAACAGTGTTATTCTTGTTCTCCCGTACTGTGTTGTCGCAGATGATCGAGATGTGAAGAGGCATTCGATCCCCCAGAAGGGATGCAACTCGTTCCAATGCCAAACAAGCTGCTTCACACACAAGCGTGGCATCCCCACTTTGTCTGGGGTCCACCAGGTTCAAGTAAAGTCCTACTTGCTGCACCCAAACTGCATGTAGTTTCAATCTTGGACGCTGAAATTTGCCAAGCTCCTTTGGTGTTGTATGCCCTTTCATTCTGGGGATTGCCCACTTGGACTGGTCCATTCCGTCCTTAAGCCCCAAGAAACTTTAAACTTAAAGCTGACATCCGATGAACAATTCTGAGCACAAACCTAAGTGCAAATCAGGCTCCCACATGAGGACGAGAATTGCATTTTCTGGATCTGTAGATCGTGGATCCAATGCCTTTAACAAGATGCAGCTGCTGCAGCAAAACATCTGACCCTGGAAAGAACCAACGTTTGAGACTAGACACTTGTAGGTATTGCTCCAACGATCTGTCTGCCTTCACTCCATCCAGGTGGTGCTTGTAGCACCTCACGGCATCATACTTCTGTTGGATGTCCTTGGTCTCCAATTGAACGAATCTGACATCATTGTCTATTGCACCAACAAGATCTCATTCATTCATATTGTAATTCATGCTTTCAGCTATGCTTCTTGTGCTTTTTTGTATTCATCCTTAAATTCCAAACAACTGTCGCAGGCTAGCTGGTCGCTCATTCCAGCAAATCCCAGGACCGATTTCCATCGTTCATTGTACCTTCGCCAGAATGTAACATACCTGAGTTTCTCTCTGAACTGATCTTTTGATTCCTATCAACATGGATTCCTTCATTTGATTCCTATCACAGCCAAAATACGAGCATTTCTGGCCAAATTGAACCCAAAGCATCTTCAGATTGCCTGGAGGCAGCTTCCGAAATGGAAGATGTTCCAGAAAATCTGCATGATTGGTTTCCACAAGCCTCACAGGTTTCAGCATGCCATGTCCATTTATTCCCCTCACAACATACCAGATTGAAGCAGCCAACAAACAGTCGGCATCACTGCCTCTTCCAAGTCAACTGGTTGGAGAGGGCATGCAGTTTGAGCTCTTCGTCATCTTCAAGACGCTCTGTGCCAAAGGTCAGCACATCCTCCCCCTCGACATCGTCAAAGTCAGGCTCACCTCACAACACTTAGCAACAAATAGACCTGCATGCGTGTTCAAGAAAACCAACCGCATACAATGTAGAATGTAGTGTCACGTTGCCTTCATCATCATCAATCGCTGACCCTTGACCAAGGAAGGTTGACAGCTTGTCAATCTCTCCACTCTTGGAGTCAGCTTTCCTTTTCTGACCTCGTCGCTGGAACCTAAGAAGGAACATGCTAATCAAAGGTAAGCGAGAGCATTCAGTGTGGGTAAATTAGAGTTTGATGCTGAAACACTTCTCTGGAAGCAGTCCACTGCAGTAGACATACATTTCCAAAAAGAAGGCATCAACCAGCTTCGCTTTGACAGGATCTTTGGCTCCAACCTGGGATCTCAAGCAAACCTGATTCTGAAAAACACTTTACGACAACAACACACAATTTATCATTCCTCTAAAGAACTGGGCCCGTGCATTTGTAGCGCCGATCAACACGCCCTGATGTACAAAAGCGTCTCTCATGGATACCCAAGGCCTGTGCCACACATGCTCGGCGCATTTGGATTCCAATGACAACCCATATGCTTCGATCAGATCTGTGTGGTCGAAGAAGTTCATACAACTTAGTCACTGGCAGGTCAGAAACACCACAAATGTCAGGACAGAACAAAATGAGTTTCACATCATTGTGGTTTGAACCACTTGACCTCTGAGGAAATGACATACACATCTTGCTGGAGCTTTGGCAACTTCCAAAAGAGGTCAAGAAAGACCAAAAGTTCAGACTCCTTCTTCTGCAGTTTAGCAAAACAACCCTTACCACATCGGCAACCACGGTCCCAAAGTCCATGGATTCGATGTCGGCTCTTCCCGTTGGACTTCTGCCTTGAGAGCATGTCTCCCCTCATGCCCATGCAAACAAACAAGACAGCATATCACCAAAACAAGTCTAAGAACCTGCAGCTGAGTTACATGTTTCGGAGGACAAACTTTGCATTCATCCGACGAAGCCGGTTGTCATACCCTAGTCTCTTCCCTGTATTTCTGGATGGAGCATGGTGAGAGGTGCCCCCAGTCAAGGAAGCCCGTGCACAAAAGGCTTGCAAACTTTCCAGGTCTACTTTGATGTGAGCTGTTGCCACTCCATGGCTTTCAACTACAGCAGCAGCATTTGATTCTGTTCGTTGTTCTGTTTCCTTCTTGGAAACTAGGCTGGCCAGGTACCTCAATCGCTCACCTCCCTGTCTGTGAATGATCCGCTCTCCATGCTTAGGCTGCTCTTCTTTTGAAGAGGGCCCACGAGGAACTGAAGTTCTCCCTTTGGAGAACTGTTTCAAAAACCTTTTTCGATCCTCTGACATGGATCTTTGAGCCTGTCGGCCCAACCAACTGAAGCCATGTTCCTTCCCACACTCCTCCCAACCCCACCAACAGCCAAACCCCACGAAATCCACGCCAAACATAACGAAAACTACTTATAGTCTAAAAAGGCACTGTGGAAAATCTGTGGCCAGCGAATGACTGAACCCATCTTCTATCAATGCTTCCACTGCGGAACATGAAAGTCTTCTACCAGCACCTCCCAAAGGTGGTGCTTCCTTGTACCATCTTGTACCTCCCACACCGTTTGGGAGGTCGCTGATTCCGGAGTTTGGGGGTGCAGACTAGATCTTTTCAAGTGGCCACCCTCCAAACAAATCACCCAATGGAAATCCCTCCCCCCCTCCCTGACTCCATGGCCTCTGCCTTGGCCGTGTTGGAGGCCTTGGCAGCCAGGCGTCAAAATCAGTGAGTTGAATCTCCATGGAGCGGAACTCCGTGCGCCAGCCGATGTGAGGAGCACAGCCTTCCACACCGCCGCCGAAGGGGTCGAACCGCCGAGCGGCTGGGCGGGTTGGACTTTCCGTGGGTTTTCGGAGGTTGGAGCAGTCGCGGAGCGAGGCTGAGTGCTTGGTGGGCGACACAACAGCACATATATGTGTATATAACATATACATATATAATAAATATAACATGATACAGCATATAATGATGCAGTCCGTGCACTACTCATATATAGGTTTTTGATGGTTTTTGCCAAAGTTACATTTCTCGCTTTCTTCCTTCAACAGCAGGATGATGCCTTCTGTACCCTGTCTGGGTCCGGCTCTGTCTTCCCTCGTTGCCCTCCCCCTGGGTCTGGCCTTCCTTGGCGGGAGGCGGCTTCCAACGGACCGTCTGCCAGTTGGTGGACCTCACCAAGCCATCCAGCAACAGAAACATCACCGAACTGCTTGATACTGAGGTCAAGGAGTCCCAAATGGACAGCAACAAACAAAAAGAAGAAGGGTTTGAGCATGTATAACTATATTATGTTTACAATAATATTGCACTATATAGATATACGCAGGTCATCAAATCCTGTAATTAGATTATCACTAATCATCACTAATCACAAAACCTCCGACATGTCGCTCATCTCAACAATACGCGATCCGTGCTGCTGGACGCTCTCGAAGTGATCGGTGGATTTCTCGTCGTCCGCTTCGATGAGGCCCTCAAAAGCCACCTGAGGCGAGCAACGCAACGACGAGGCCGTCAGGAATGATTGAAACGGGCGGAACGAGTCAATCTACGGTCCTGAACTCGGACCTCATCCCGTTTGCCCAGAGGTCATAAGGTTTACCGTCTTCAGCTTGGTTTGTGTTCAGAGGGGGCACTGATCCCTACTGAAAGGAAGGTTAGAAACCGATTGAGAATAGCTATGCAAGCCTACCCAAAGAACTGGACCATACATCTGATTGGTACATAAACCAAAGCTCTTACCTTCGCACCACCCTCCCCCCCAAAAAAAAGAACAAGTGTACTTAACCCCACAGCTTCCCATACCGAAGCCCAACAGCTCATTTTGCTCCAACAAAGGCAAAATCCATCGCTGGCACGACCTCACAGTGATACCCAGTATAATATATATTATTGTGGTCCCCAAATAGATAGTAGCACACTTTCCATGGGGATCTATTCTATATATCATTCTATATCTATTTGGGGCCACTGTAAGTCTTCAACGCGGCAGCCGATCCCACGTACTCCGCCGCGCACGTCAACCCGCGTCTCAACCCGCGCACGTCGACGGTGGACTCGCCGGGCCGCAAGGGGATCGCGGGTGAAGAGGTGCGCGATGTGCTGAGCTAAGGCCTGGTCAACACCCTCATCTTCCAGGAGTGCCTGGAGGAAACATCGGGACAAAGGCTTTGCTGATTTGGAGGTGGCCCCAAAGATTTAGGTCCAGTGGGGTTCTGGGCTCTTGAACAAAATCATTGCATTCCCGGTGTGCCCCCAAAACCCTGTACCTGGACCATCCTGTCGGGGTGTCCTGGCTGGAGATCCCGGATAGTAGTGCAGGACACCCACGCAGCGCACGCAGGATGGTCCTGGTATGTTTCTACAGCTTCAACCTCTTTCCGCTGAACGCCAGTCCAAGAAGCTCCGTCAGTGGAGGTGAAAACGATCGAATGTGTTCTTTTTTCCCCTTGCGTTTGACGTTCTTACTTACAATTTGAGCTTGATTTGAGTGGCCTTCATGAGAATCCAAATGTGAATGGGAGGCTCACGGGAGGCGATGAAACAGGGTGTTCTGAGGAGGGTTCTTCAAGGAGCTTGGCCAAAGGTTCTGCTCCTGCAAAAAATACAGAAAAGGCATCAGCTTGAAAGCGCTAAGTCTATATAACGAATTGGAAGGCAAGGTTCCCAAAGAGACCCTTCCCACCAGTTTCTCATCTCATAGTGAGCAAGAACAACGAGCCAAAGGTTGTCATGTCTGTAGGATACTCCATTTGCATGAAACAATGTGTGATGAAATCCAAGCACAAAGCAACACCTCTTGTAAGCGCATGTGTTTTTGACATCAAACAACATAAACAACTTTTATTTTATATCTAACATGTGTAAGTCCACAAGCTATACATACTATATTGAAAGTCCTCATGATCCTCGTTCTGTTTGTTCATGCCTCAATCATTCAATTCTCACGGCTTCCCATCCTCCTCCCTTTCACCTCTCAACCCCTCCGGTCTCCGAGGCACGCGGATCTCCTCATCGATCTCACAAGGGATGTCGTTGTAGGCTTGGGATGAGGGATGGATGTAGCACGAGATCGAATCATAGCGACTCTTGCTCTGCCTGGCCGAGAAATGCGGATGTATAGGAAGCATGCTTGGGACGTGGTTTCTAGCTGGTTTCCAGCTGGGCAGAAGGTCCCAAGTTGGAAAACCATCCCAACTGCAGATGGATCACTGGAACATGGAAACCCCCTAAACCGGCCAAAAGGCAGCCCGCCCCACCCCACCCATCCTGCCAAATCCCACCGAGAAAAAACATGCCCAGCGCCTGCGCACACCATGCCCAGCCATGCGCGGGTCTGGAGCGCCCGGCTCCAAGCCGCGCTCCGCGGGCGTGCGATCGTCCACGGATTGGCTGATGACGCTCCAGCGGGCGTCGGTCGCTGCCAGGCGACCCTTCAACACGGGGGTGGCCTCGGGTTCCGAAGCGGGTCGACGAAGGCAATACAGTAGGTGGATGATGGTGGATGATAAGAGTGGTGATGAATAAAATGAATAGCTGGGTCATGGGTTGGGGGTGATAGGCCGGGTAGGCATAGGTAAATCAACAAAAACAGTGAAAGTCTAAGTGTGTACTTGCTGTGCTGACCAGGCTGCAGCGGTCATGGCCATCATGATGGGCGCCAAAACTGCCAGTTGGTCGTACAAGTATCCTGGGAGCCAGGTGACATAGGTATCAGAAGGAGGACACACACACAGAAACAAACTTGCAATTCACTGCTACTGCTAGCAAAGGTGTCAAAGTGGTACTACATGGTACTACTGTACTCAACACATTAGGTTCCTAGCTCAGCAGCAGCACACGAGGCAACAGGAGTGAAAGTCAGTGAACGTAGTAATTATATGGGCATGGGCAGTTGTTGTGGAGGTTGGTGGTGCTAGCAATGGTTGTAGGAATTGGTCAGACTGCCGGTGAGCTCCAATGGACTGCCTACAGCCAATGGGGAAAGCTCTGCGTGAATCACAGAGCCTCATGAGAGCTTCTTCGACTTCGACCTCAAATTGCCTCCGGTGGGTAGCTAAGACAATCTGCGGAATACGTGTTGTCAACTTGGATAATCATACGGAACAGTATGGAACACTCAACGAGATGCCAAAACAGCACCCAGCCCTGAAAAAAAGTAATGATTATAATATCATAATCATATAATATCATCTTCTCAAGCCATCTCTATTTGGCTCGACATTCCGAAGCCCAAACCACTTGGCTTTCATGGACCCAGCTGGGTGTCAGTCCCCAATCTGCCAGCTCAACCGAACACGCCGCGACACCGAGATCACCCATGAACCGCACCTAGCAGTGCAACTTCGGTCTCGTTCGTTCGCCACTCTTCAAGCTTCTGGTCAGACCAAGGCAATGCCAGAAAAAAGTAAAGATGGTGAGGACCCTAAACCTGAAGCGCACATGAACAAAGAAACCATCATCAACACCATATAAAACCAAGGCTCTGGACTCCTTCATGTTGCTGGCTTGGAAGGTCACTTGCAAACAGCAACATCCCATCCCGTAGGCCATACCTCAGGTCGGACCGACAACGAAGGCCGTGACCGAAGGCGGCGGAGTTGGCTCGGGTTCTTCGTCGTGCACCGATGGCCTCGGTCAAGAAGGGTCTGAGTCCTTACTGGATCCCTCTGCTCAGCGCTGAGGAATATATAAGCTCATGTGGGAGGAGCGATATATGGAGATATCAAATTAGGTTCTTTAAATAATCACTATAAACCGGCACTGGCTTGTAGTTTGTGGCGATCATCACTTAGATCAGTGCAACCGAGCGGGGCAAATCACATCAAATCAGCACTAATCCCAGGGAGTCTCCGCTGCGCTTTTTTCTCCACACCGAGCGGCAGTCCATGTCAATGGTTGGATGCTCAGTGCTCTCAAACTCGGGCGTCCTACGGAGACCAGCCGATGGAGAGCTATTTGTTCTGCTCATTGGGAGGGAGGAGTCCGAGCAAACTCCAACAAGCTATCTTCTGTCTATTGTTTGTTTTTGACTTTTGACATCTTTTGACCACCCTTCATTCACATTATTCATAACCATTAGCACTTCGCCAGTTCTTAGCACATCTTAGCGCAAAAATGCACAAAACAACCTCCCATGGACAAAGGACCTTCTGATCAACATGAAGACCCAACATGCTCCAATAGAACCCTGCACCATATACTCCACCTATCTCCACCGCACCTCCTGTCACTGTTCATCATTACACCGGACCCCCATGCTCGACCAAAAAACAGACCCAATCCTGTTCGGACACCATGTCTGACAAGGGCTTCGCCTGCTTGGACCCTCTCTTCACCCAACCGCCCTGGACACCGCGGAAACCTCACCCCAGCGCCGCGGACCTGACGTCCACGCGACGACGCCCGACCTGCCTGAGATCCTGGAAGAGCGGCATGCGGATGTCCACCTTGCTACCCCGGCGTTGCCGGATGTTCGCCGTTAAGGTGCCAAAGCCTTGAAGCTGCAGCTGGCAGCGGTAGGAGGGAGCCATCCTATGGGTGCGTAGGTCGGTGACCTCTAGTAGAGGGCCGTCACCTGGGGTACCTATGGGGATCCTATGGGATATAGTCTATATAGGGTTCTGCACCCTCTGTTGGAAGAAGGCGGAGCGATCGGCTTTTTGGACAGGAGCGCTGGGTGAGCATAGCAGGGGTTTCTGACTGTGACAGGTTTGGAAATTGTGCGATCTTTCGGGTTGCAGTGCGAATGATGGAAGGTAGAAGATAATCTGATAAAGGCTGAACTGAGTTTCCAGGTGGTGGGAGATCTTGGAGGATTCTTGTCCATCCACGCTAGTAAGTCACAGTAGCTCCAACATGTGGCAGGAGCCTTCACATGGGGGACCCATTTAATTCTCGAGTTCTGATGAAAAGTCTCCGATATCCGCATGGAAATGATGCTACCATTGACTGTGCCAAAAAGGAGCTATAGACTATAGACCATTTGTTTGACGCTGAAACAGGAGCAACAAACACCTTGCAAACCAAAAATAACCAGGTAAACCGCACCATCGAAACGTGCAAATGGGTGGCGAAGAAGGAGAATCACACCTGGGCTCTTTCCGACAGGTATATACCCACCTACTCCCGGCTCCCAATAAGAACCTGATCAATAGCTATCCCACACCAGCATCAACAGCCACAGCATCTTGAAGAAGTGCTGGTTCTGTTCTTGATTCTCCAAGTGCCCTTTGCTCTTGATGCAGTGCAGAAAATGGTGTCATTGTCAATGTCAACTATATGTCATATTGTGTTGAACTTAATTAATCCAAAAGCTTATCTTGCATCTTTGCATCTAATCGGCATGGAACCAAACGACTTTACACAAGACCAACGATTACTGTACTCATAAAACCACCCATATTAAGAAAAGGTTGTTCAATCCAATTTGAATCAATTTGAGGGGTTGGACTTCACCAAGAGTCTTCATTCGTCTTCATTTGCAACCAGCAAGCATCACCAAGCCATTCCGGCTCTACCCGCCCCACCATCCCCCAAAACAGGCCCGGGGCCGGCGCGGACGGTGCACGGGCCACGCGCGGTGTCTTTTTCCGGGCCACGTGGGTGCGGATTGATCACCTCGTCCGGCACCGAGCTAGACTCTGCGATGCTCCGGGAATCGGTGGAGGTTGCGGCGAAGGAGGGGCCCACGCCCATGAGAGGAAAGGCCACCAGGGTGGGAGCCACCTGAGCACCAGGACGCCGACAGGAGACAGGCGTGAAACAGGAGGTATACCAAGCAGAGCGGGTGCGTCGCGTCGTGCAGGGATTGTGTGTTTGTCACTCCGATGTGTCGGATGATAAACATGATAAAGACCCTCCACCCACAACAATGCCAAAACAAAATCAGATTGAGAAACCCTGGGTTCAGGTTGTGCTGGCGGATTTTGTTGACGGGTAATTAATTAGGATATATCAGGAAAAAGATGGAAAGTGGGCTTCGTCGTGACCCCTGCCGGAACTAGGTTGGTCTTGCCAAATCTCTGCATGCAAAAAACATCATGAACTCATTATATAAACGCGAATTGCAGCATGCAGCGCTCAACTTCATATTCCCATGGCGACTTGTGGCTAATATGGGTCCGCATTGGATTGCATTGGAGATCTGGGTGTTGGTCATTTGCCATATATGGACCTGTGGCCCCTTGGAGAAAAGGCTTCCGCGTGATACCTCTTGTAATGTGCCCTGTAGTGAAGTGCGGGTACCTTACCCCGACAGTCATCCAATGGAAGGAGATCACCAACACGTTTTTTTTTGAAAAAAAACATGTTGTGTGGGCGCTTATGGTGATTGAATGAAATATGACAAGCGTAAAAAAGACAACCGGAACAACAAAGGCACAACTAAAAATCAACCAAACACCTCTGTTTCCCCCCGAGACGCACCTCATCGGCGTGGAGGGCGGAGAGCAGCCGCCCTCGTCGGAGGCGCATGTTCTGCTCGACGCCCACCAGGCTCATGGCCTCGAACCGCGGCTGCGACTGTCACGGGCCTTGTCGAAGAAGCGAGAACCGGTGAATGGGAAAAGAATCCACACCAGCAGTAACTGACTGGTGCTTACTAGGGAATGAGGGAATGGATCCAAAGAAATCTCTATTGGGGGCTCATTCCCTCATTCTCTACTAAGCACCAGTCAGGTAAACTATGCAAAATTAATTTCAATGAACAAACTACATAACTACATGATACTACATGACTACACGACCATTTACAGCGTCTTGCCTCACCTTCGCAACGCTCCACCGAATCTGAAAACGCCAGGCGATTGCGGTGGGATGCCAACATCCCCGAAAGCACCCGTACTATGTCATATATACACCACCCACCCTGATCCTCCAAAACAACGGAGAGAACGAGGCTCATAGCCATCGTATGGCAGCTTGGGCGTCCCCTCCAGCATCCAGCTTCCATATTCTTGGTGCCAAGCGCAGCCGTTCCCCGTGCTTTCCTGGCGACCCCCGAAAGCGCACGCGCCGAACAACGCCCTCCGGTCCAGCCGAAGCCATGAACTTCGACAGTTCGCAGCATCCAGCCACTGGGGCTTCCAAACTTGATGTGTTTACTAACCTGAGCCGTACTCTGAGCCGTTCATTGGTGTGGAACATCTAGGACCATGGAACTTGCCACCCATGTTGGTTTTGCATGGGGGGACCCTTCCCAAAGAAAACAGTAAGTTAAAGGTCGTCCACTGACTGGGAGAGTAACGGAGAGTAACTGTCTTTGTCTCATGGAATCCCGTTGCTGCAACTTGCCAGGCTGGCCAGGCAGGTTCGCTCTCGATCAAGATTTCACAAAACGAAGCTTGCAACCAATTGAACAAGTCGATGTCTTTAAAGCACTTTCAATGAACTCGCTCACCACGGCATACTAGCTACACATCAACGGACGCGTGGGCGCGACCCCACCCCATGCGCCCGGCTCCTGCTCCTGCCCTCGGAGGCGGTCCATGACTTCCGGCCCGCGCAGGCTCAGTTGCACCTAGGCTCGGGGTGACCAAGCGGCATCTACTCCCAAGCCCCTTGTGGAACAGAAGCGGTTTGACCCGTTTGTGGTTCCACCTGTTCCATGTTTAAGTGAGGGAAAAAAAAACTAACTCCCAAAGAGAAAAACAAACTGCCGGTTATCCACTTTTCCTGGGTAGGATATGCTTGTGTCTTAGTTGATGAATAAGAAGTGCCCCTGCTAGCGCCTGGAGATGAACCACTCTGGAGACCGCGGTCTTATTCATCAACAATCTGTAGCCTAGGGCTTCAAGTATAGCTTCTGAGAAGGTGTTTGGGATGGGCTTGGAGGGTCCAAATACCTTTCGGACGAGGTACTTAGGGGTATTGAGGTCCTGGTTCATGTCCGTTCTTGTCCACCCTTCGGCTGCACACACCTCCGATCCAGGCAGGCACGGACTTGTGATGTCGGCCATGTCAAATGGTGCTGAAGCGTCAAACCATCCAAAACAGGCAGAAACAAGAATCACCAAACCTGTGGTGCCCAACCATGCCGGCACCATGCAGCACTAACTCCCCGTTCACCCTCGCAAACCCCGGCCTTCTCTCTATCTTACGACCCAGCCAGTGCTGACCTGCGCACTAAGACAGGCCGAGGAACAGTTTTGTTGGGATTAAGCTTCAGCAGGGAGTACTCAAGTTCCTCAGGCCAAGAGGCAAAAGATCACCCAGTCGGCTGGACAAACTGAGCAAACGGACCTAAAGTCTGAAAGGGGGAAAGCATGCGCGCACCACTTCGCACAGAAGCCAGCTCTTGTGGCTCCTATTTTTGGTTAAGACTACATGCCTTGGTCGGAAGATCCTCTCAAAAACGTGCCACAAACAAACGCCAGGCCCGCCAGGCGTCATCACCATAAAAGAAGGGATCGTTCTCCAGGTGCTGCATGCGGCGATAAATGGAGAGGAACTGTAGCACGCCATGCCGTCGAATGTAGTTGCAGTGTTCAAGCATGTCATCCTGTTGCAGTGTTCAGCCGCAAGGACATACACGGGAACGGTCCAGACATGTCCAGAAACTCCTTGGACTTGGGGATTTTGAGTGGTTTGGTCTTTGTACTTGTTAAGACGTTTGTTAAGACGTTTTGAGTGGTTTGGACTCTTTGTTCAGTGGACTTGTTAAGACATTTACTGCTTGAACTTGGGTTCCGACGGTTTGCTGTTTGGGGGCTTGCCATATCTTCCCATACTCCGGTCTAGATGGAGATGCATGCGCAAGCCACCTATTGCGTTTTGTGCCATCTACCCGGTCGCTGGTCTACCCTGAACATAGTTCAATATGAACACAACCCGTCTGAGGAACACCCTCTGCAGTGCACGGAATCTTATTAAACATCAGCTGACTAGTAGAATCATGCTAGGTCAGGTTGACCAATACATATATAATTCATTATTACATTGTACTGTACAGCCTGTGAATCTTTTTACATGGAGAAATCACAAGATAGCAAAGCTACACTCAAAGCTACTTGTTTGTGGAATCTTCAACTTTCCCCGTAGTCGCAAACCCGACAAGCACAAAACCGCCTGATCCAGCCAAAATAGTGTATGAAACAGGGGAAACTACAGGGGAACACCCAATGTAAATTCATGGGAGCAGGAATCCAACTACTACTAGTGTGACCTATCACCTATCTATAGTGCTTGGAGGGCCTCCCTTCTCATACACATCCACATCATTCCACATCTATGGCCAAGCATCCCAATGCAAGGGCGTTCCGACCTTCAACAGTCCCATTTTCCTTCAAGGACTTCTTCGCGCGGCTCGACCAAGAAGGTGTCTTGCGCTGTTCTGAACAGCGCGGGGATCAAAAGAGTATTGAGGTCTTCGGATTTCCCCCTAAAAGACTTCTTTGGGCCCAAATGGCTCAGGAGTCGAGACCAGCTATGTCAAGCTCAAGAGGAGCGAATGGGCTCCAAGCTCGGCTTTGTGCAAAAAAACATTAAAAACCGAGATGAGGAAGCAGCCTAGGCAGCCAGCGGCTGGAATGACAAAAGTCAGTCCTGAGACTGGCCAATAAATTTAGACATAATTATAAGAAAGGGACCCGCAGCTGCTAGAACTCTCCGCCCACTGACCGTCTCAAATGGTCCTTTTTTTGGACACCTTTCGCCGTCTTTGCCTTTGCAAGACACGACGTCGAACTGGGCATGTTCTTCACAGCTGAACCCTCCTCTGCCCCACTGGCGCGCGCCTGATCTCGAGTGGCCAAGCAATCGGACTCATCCTCGGGACCAAAAAGCTGAGAGGATCGGCAGAGGAACTGAAGTGTTTTTTTTGGGGTCGAACATCCTCATGGAGGGGTGTTTTTGTGGCTAGGTGTGCCTAAGGCGTTTGGGGTGGGTGCCAGGAGGGTCCAAATACCTTGTGAGGAGCTACTTGGAGCCCTATAGTGCTAAAAGGCTGGGGAGACATCCGAAGATGAGGGAAGGTCCCAGAATCGGAATGAGTTCTGCTTCAGGCAGGAAGTTCCAGGGGGAATTCTGCATATCTCATTTCACCGCCGCTGCTGCCCAAGCACCCCATTTGGGCGGCCGAAGTGACACCTGGCCTAGTGGAAGCAGAACAAAAACAGCAGTCCATGGCGTGGAAGGATGTACAAACATCCTGGAAAAAATGGACATGACCTGAAACGACTGCAACCCCGAAAAAACACCCCTTGTGCCGTCTTTTCTGGGACACCCTCCATCTCCTGTCACTGGATACTCCGAGCTCCGAGCCCGGCCCGAACCATGGCGTTCAGCCCCGCACCGGGCGTTCGGCCCCGCACCGGCTGTTGCTGAAGGAGCCGGGAGTCTTAGGGTACCAACGATCGTTAAGGTCTTAGGGAGTCACCAAAGGAGCACCAAGACGCCCGGAGTCGTTGGCATCCATTTCAATTCAAGAACCGAAGTGAAACACGACCCCGGAAGACTTGTGATTCCTCTACGATCACGCCCATGTTCCACTTCCATGATGCTTCGAGGGAGGGCAAACCATCAAACCCTCCTGGAGAAAGCTCACAAGGAGAAACCGTCAAAGCACCGAACTCATTCGGAGTCATTGTTCTTGATCCCTGTGGGAGGCTTGGTTGTTTTTTCGAAAGCACCTGCGAAGGGTGTTCCTGTCCAACTATCACCATCATCACCATGACCATCATCATCATCATCATCATCATCATCATCAGGTTGAGATAGACAGGTGTTCAAGTACAGGTGTATCCTGTGCAGCTTTTGGCACACAACATGCGCATGACAAGCAGGAAGCGTTCATGATAGAAAATGCCTATGCACTTCAATCCAAGGCGTTTTTGTATCCACAATCCCGTTCTATAATTCTGCCGATGACTGTAGATCAAAGTACAGCAAGACCAACATGGATCAAGCCAAAGTCACCCAACAGTTTGAGTGAACCTGTCAAGTGAGTTTGTTCTCATTTGAGTGAAGATGTCTGCTAAATGCTTTGGATTGAGTGAAGATGTCTGCACTCGACGCGGGACAGCACGTGAGAGAGCCCAAGGATGGAGATGACACGCACGAAGGGAATGAACTGGAACAGCCGAGCTTGAGAGGTTTCGTCAGGTGATGAGGTCTCTCTATCCCACCAGGGGGGGAGGGTAGCTTGAGTGTCAAGGCCTTGTCAGTCTGGCAGATGTCCGCAGCTTTTCATGAGTACACAGAAGTGTCATGCTTCGGTGGATGGCTGGCCGCTATGAGCATCCAATTTGCTTGTAGCACTGATGGAATGGATGTTGAGATCATAGAAATGGCAACCCAACAGCAAGCCTTCCGGCGCAGGACAGCCAAATACAGCCGTATAGCCATAGTATAGTCTATCAGTAAATCGGGAGGGCGCACAAACCCTGACAATTGGTAGCCTGGTAGATGCATCTCTTCACCTCTGGGACATTCACTGTGGCCTGATTAGCGTTACATGGATGACCACTTTTGCTCCTGCCTTGAACCTCACAACATTATATTCAATGGTTGATTCCCGCAAAGAAGCTATCGTTTTGAAAAACGCTATGTAAAGAGTTGAGCTTCTTTGCACTGTCCCACAGAGAACCTAGAAAAGGATCCTTATGCCTCATTCAAAATCGTTCCCAAAATCGGTCACTCTGCCGAAATCCCTTGGTTTAAGCATGTTTAAGCGATCAAATTCAACAAACAAATGAATAAACATGAGCCCATTTTTCTCGCGGCCCGCCAACGATCTGGTGCACGATGGCTATATAGAATGACCCAGCTCGGTCGGTCTAGCTCTCAAATGGCTCGAGCTAAACCGAGCTAAACCGAGCTCAGTCTGGGTGTCAACTGAGCCAACTGAGCTGCACTCGACCTGCGCTCTGGGGTTCCTGAGGAGTTCCCTTTTGGGGGCTTGTGATGTTGATGCTGGGCCGTTGAGCAAGATTCTTCTTAAGTTCAGCCAGTTGCGGGGGCCTAGCACTGATCCAGTCGCATTCTACATTCTTGGAGCCAAGGGGGCAAAGGTGCAGAACATATAGCTCTCCAGATGCAAAGGGCAAACTATGCAGGTGGCTTCAGCCCACCCATATTTCATTGTTACTTGCTTTATCACGTTGCATCTAGCTTCTCAAGCACCAGAAGCTCATGGCCCTCATGGCATCCTAAGACATTTCTACTCCATCCGCTCCAGGAGTGAGACAAGAGGCTCTGCATGAAATCGGTAGCTGGGAGGCTCTCAATGTCACCGGTAGACTAAGATGTAAAACCCTTCTGGAGACTGGAGCGTATGCGTCAACAGTCTGTATACAATCGCCTCCACTATAGGCTGAGGGTAGAAGAGGCCGGCTATTCAAACATATGTCGATACTCTTGGTCTTGATTGCTTTCGAGACCTGGCTGCCTGGCTGGCTCAGTAAATCTGACTGATAACTATGTACATGACCTGGCGCCCCTTGAGGGCCCCAAAAATTGCACCGGGCGTTGTGCCAAGTTCAGCGACTTCCCACTTCGGATGTGGACTCTTGGGACACCTGTCCATTTACCCTAGGGATTCGTTTTCGTACCGAACCTCAGGTACGGTTACGACTCGACACTGAGACATGGATAGGTCCCGTTTTCGTACCGAACCTGAGAAGAGACGAACACGGATCCCAAGGGGTCGATATAGGTGCCCCATAGCAGACAAAGGTGCCGTCTGGACAGGGTGCTTCTCCAAGCACTACAGGGTCACTTAAGCATTCCAACAAAGATCATCTCTTCGGGGGTCCATCCGGCCATGAACAGGGGGCCATGTCTTGAGCACATGACATGGCGCACATCTGGGCACATATCTTGAGCACAACACCCTGGACCCTGCTGGTCATGTTTCTTCGGCCTTTCGCTTTGGCCCGGGACGCCTCACTCGCTTTGCCCGTGGCTTAGGCTTTGGCTTTGCTTCCGGCTGCGCAGGCGCCGCGGCTTGGGGCTTGGGCTTCGCCTTGGGCCGTCGCTTGGGGCGCCTGGCGCGAGGCAAGCGGGGCTGCACACCCATCCCTACCACGGCCGCAATGGGCAGATCATCCTCATCCTGCTCGCGTGGCTCATCTTGCAGGCGGACCAGCGGAAGGTTGTCCTCGTCCTCATCTGCTTCGTCGTCCTCATCTGCTTCGTCGCTAGTCGAGAGAGAAGGAGCCATCAAATTACAACTCATTGGGAGGTGTTTTGCTCGGGCCACTCGAGACAACCATCCATCCATCCATCCGTCCATCCATCAAAGCATCCAGCCATGGGAAACTGCCACTGAAGCAGCAATTCCATAATAATAGTGTATATATATATATACAGTATATAAAAGGAATACGTCTAGAATTGTCTACATGTTCAAACTTTTATCATATATTGAATTGTAGAATTACATATTAATAATTATATATGATATATGCATCAACATACCACGCTACACAAAACAAACACAAAAACAGCGTACTGTGAACAAATCTTGATGTCCCAGCCCACTGCCTATAGGGCCCT